GAGAGGACTGCCTGAGCCCACAGGTTTGAGACCAGCCTGAGCAACTTGGTGAGACCTCAGTTCTACAATAAATAAAAAAATTAGCCAGGTGTGGTGGCACATGCCGGTGGTTCCAGCTACTTGGAAGGCTGAGGCACAAGGATCACCTGAGCCCAACAGGTTCAGTGGCCATGAGTGTGCCACTGCACTCCAGCCTGGGCGACGAATCTCAGAGTGAATACATAAAAGTCTACCAATCTAAGTCATGTTTCCTTCAAAGTAGTTACCTTGGAAGACTACCTTGAAAGACTATGCAGTTATTCCCAAAATGCTTAAAACATTCTGGAACGTTTCTTTTAAAGTGGCCATCAGATTCTCTAGCATATTCTTTAAAACATCTTTAAGTTGGCAAATATTCATCTTTCCAGGACGAAATTGATTTTTAAAAGGGGCTGCCAATTATTCAGAGATCAATCTGGTGAATAGTAACCAGATTAACACTTCCGGCTAATAAGGTGAGATCATAATACAATAATGATAATTATTTAAGTGTGGCTCATAAATTGGTCTTGATAGTACTGTATATTAAGGTTAAGTAAAGGCAGCATGGCCACAGTAGCGATTAAAGCCCATTTTGGTTGGTTTATGATGTGAATGAATTCAGGTAGCACTGGGAGTCATTATATATTTAAATAGTATCAAATGTTTCTTTTTATGAAAATCTTAATTATGATGTTCTCTGAAATCTGATTTCATAATATTAAAATGAGGCTTTAAGGAAAAACATTAAATGGTAATGAAAGCTTTATTCTTTCAGTATATAATCTCGTGGGCTTTGGGTCAAGATAAGTAATGATCAGATGAATGAGCTGGCAACCTTCCTGCCCTCTGAAGTCTGCTAGTAACTGGAAGCTAAGTAAAACATTGTCACATGCTTAAATACGTTTAATAATATTCCACCAGCTTCTCTAGAACTGTCTTTTGTATGCTGAGCAATGAAATACAATGGCATTTAACACAGATGAAGAAAGTGAGCTTTTGGACAGAAGTATATCCAAAAAGTCATTCTTACTCAGCAGGTAGACACTGTCTGCCTCCATTCACGTTAACTTTCCCAGCTGTGTCTGCTCTTCATCCTTCATGGACTTTTACATTTTCATATTTTCCATCAATTCATGTTGCATTTTTGGGGGTACAGTCAGGTACCACATAATAACATCTCAAAGATGGACCACATATACGACGGTGGTCCCATAAGATTATGACGGCATATTTTTATTGTGTCTTGTCTATGTTTAGATACACAAGTACTTACCGTTGTGTAACAACTGCTACAGTATTCAGTAGTCACATTCTATGCAGGCTTGTAGCCTAGGAGCAATAGTCTATACCACATAGCCTAGGTGTGTAGTAGGCTAGACCACCTAGGTGTGTGTTAAGTATACTCTAAGATGTTCACACAATGACAAAATTACCTAACAATGCAATTCTCAGAAAGTATCCCCGCCATTAACTGACTCCTGACTGTACTTCAATAATCTACTGCTCAGATTTAAAACCATAAGACCCAAATATATGTGTGGGCAGTTGCTATTATCCTCAGGTTACTAGAGAAGATACATAACTGAGGAGATGCAGTCTCTGTAAGGTCTTATTGTTTGTTGTCTACGTATCCAAAATTCTCAAAAACATGACTAAAAAATTTTTGAAGGCAGTCTTTAAGAGTCTCCTAAATATGTTTTAGAGACAGATCTGACTGAAAACATAAAAAAAAGCCCCAAAAAACTAAAAAAAAGAAAAGAACCCAAATCCATCCCCCACCACACACTACCCAAGCTTGGGCTTTAAAATTTTGGTCTTAGAGCTTTGGGATGAACAGAAACTATTGTAGACAATACTCTATGGAACTATCAAGGCCTTCATGTATTACTTGGCCTTTACTTTCGGCCAAATAGTCTCTAAAAATTAATGTAAGCTCGATGAAAGGAGGGAGTCTTATCTGTTTTGTTCAATGCTGTATCCCTAGCGCTCAGAACAGTGCTGGCTTCAGCTAAGTGCTTCACGGCTATTTGCTGAATTCATGCATGCTGCTGAAAGATTTTTATATCCAAGTCTTTGAAATCCAGTTCCTCTTAGAATTCTCCCTGTGGTTCCTCTGCTCTCACAGGGCACTAAGAGCCAAGCCTGGTCTGTGAGACCTTCCTATCATTTATCCAGATGGCTATATTTTCAAAGTGATGTCCTACAATACCTTCTATCCCTTCTCACTATCATCTACCAATCTCCTGCTCATTCTCCAATACTCAGTAAGAAACTGAGCTCCTGACTCAGGCTACTTGTCCACACCTATCTCCTATCACCTCGGGGAATGACAATGACCAATCCGTTTGCTAGCTCACTACTCACCCTCCCCAACTTCAGTAACCACTATTTCCACTCCTGGCTCCTACTCCTGCAACCACGCCTTTGGTATTGCTAGTGTGGATGATGACAATGCTAAAATCGCTAGTATGTGAGGGCTTATTCTGTGCTGGACACTGTGCCACAAAGATCTTATCTAATTTAATCTTCCCCCAACCCCCATGAAGACACTTGGGACAGAGCTCAGAAGTGGTGAAATTTTAATCTAAAACAGGTCTTCAGCCTCTTTAGCTTGTGTTCTTAACCATCTGTCTCCGGGATGAGAAGAATCAAGACTGAAACGCCAGCCCTGTCACTTCTGTCACAAAAGGTTTTTTGACCTGTTTTCTAATTTGTAAGCTAGTGGCAGGAATAAGAATGTCCATGAAATGCCTAGCACAGTACCTGACGTACCACAGATGTGTATTCCATGGATGTGTATTGCAAATGTCAGCTGAGGAGCTCCCAAGCATCCACCCTGTGCTAGGTGCTGAGGATACAGTAATGAGTAGCTCCATCACAGCTCCTGCCCTTCCAGATCTGCACAGCACTTGGTGGATGCTCAATAATATCTGAACAAACCCTCAAGGAGGTCTCCAGCCTCCATTCTGCCCACTTCAATCAACCAGGGATTCTGCTAGAATGCAGTATGAGGGCCCTTTCCTCCTCAAAATTCTTCAGTGGATTCCTCATTGCCTCAGAGATAAATTCCTTAACTTTTTAATTGTGTAAATTTCTTAACACAATATGCAAGAATGGCTATGGGTAAGTAGCTCAGTTTCCCCCTCTTCTTTGTTATGCAATGAAATCTTATGAAATCTATTCAGAAACTTAAGTTGTAAACCAGATCAATACAGACCTATTGTGGTTAAGAGCACGAGAACTGGAGTCACCAGTGTGGCATCCTAAGCCCTCCCCACCTCCTTCACACACACACACACACACACAGCTGCAGCTCCTAAGGCAATGCCAGGGGTTCTGAGAAACAGTTGGGCAATCTAATTGTAGAACAATTTGGTGGATGGAATCCATGAGTTAGAAAATAAGAGTGCATTACATGAACTTATGGCAAAGTACTGGCATGTAAAATCTATGTTACATTTGCATATACATGTGCTCATGTACTGGGCTGATATAAATTGTATTTCTTATTGTAGATCATGGTCAAAATAGCTTTAAAGTCTTAGTTTTAGATCCTCTATGTAGCCTCAGTTCCCAGTTTCTTCAGTCACATAAAATCCCATCAAGCCACATGTAGTCCCCCAAATCCATCTTGCTTGTTTCCATGCCTACAGGCATGTAAGCCAGACATGGTGCTAGGCTCTAAGCATGCAGGAGTCAGCAAAACCAAAGCCTGACCATATAGCACTTAAAAATCCAGAGACATAGACAAATATTACACTCACCACACTAATATACCCATGAACCAAGATAAGCACTTTAAGTGAAAGAAATATGTTTTTTCAGGAACATGTATCAAAGATAATTCATCGAGCCTAGGAGTTCAAACAAGGCATCCCTGAAGAATCAATTAGCAGAGATCTAAGATTGTGTCAGAATTAGCTTTGCAAAATGGTGAAGGAAGAGAGGAAGAGCATTCTACAAAGAATCCAGCTTTAAGAGGCCCTATGAGGCGAAAGGACAGGCATATCTGATGATGTTGAGGAGTGGCGACAGAGCACTGATCTGACATACTGGAAACTGGGAGGAAGGGGGAAAAGGCTGTGGTGGTGAGAGAGAGGCTGACTCAGGCTCCTGCCTCACACAACTGGACAGAAGGTGTTAGCGGCCTGAGAGGGCAAACTGGAGACTAGAGTTAGAGATTACAGGTTCAGTCTTGGATAAATTGCATTTAAGTAACTTTGAGATGGATTTGTAGGTCAAGAGCTCAGAATCAACATCCTGACTAAGACAGCCTAGAAGTTATGGGTATGGAGGTGGTCAGTGAAAGTAGGCACACATGTGAGAACAATGCCCACGGTTGAGCCTGGAAAGCCTTTCCACTTCCAGGTGAATTTTTACTTGTTACAAATGTGTATGTATGCACGGCTAACTACACAATTATACCTGTTTCCTTTTTTGTGTGTGTGGTGGAGACAGGGTCTTGCTATGTTGTCCAGGTTGGCCTCAAACTCCTAGCATTAAGCAATCCTCCTGCCTTGGCCTGAGCTATCCCCGACACCTCCTACTTTCTTTTTTTTTTTTTTTTTTTTTTTTGAGATTTCTATCTTCTTCTGCCTGCTCTTTGAAAATCACCAAATTAATAAATAATCTTTTACATGAAAAGTCAGAAGGTTTTTGATTTAGATGAACAAATACTTTTCATAAGTTCAAGACTAGAATAAAAAGGAAACATCAAAAGTAGCAATTGTCTCAAAGGTAGAAAAAAAGGGTTCTTCTCTTTTTGAAGATAAGAGTGCTGCTTCTAGCTATTTAATGCTAGAAAACAATTTCTACGTTACCCTACTGTTGATGGTTTCGTCTGTTCTCACTTTGCCAGCTTCCCATGTTCTGGGAAAAATATAAAATGTTAGATTTCTTAAAATTCAGCCACTTGTATAGCTCCACTTAAAATACACACTTTAAAACCAATTTATACTGTGTGAATAAACTACTTAAAATATTAGACACAAAAAATTTTATGCATAATCCAAACTGTACATAATTCACATTTATGCTTCTAAACAAATAGAAGCTCACATGTGTACTTTTACAGTTTACAAAGTGCTTTTATATACATCTTCTCATCTGCTATTCAAGATAGACATGTGAAATAAATATTATTCTTATTTAACAGATGGTAATAAACCCAGATGTTATTCAGTTTTTTAACCACTATATAGTGGGACCCTGAGACTTTAGATCTGAAAAGGGGTTAATAATGCAAATACCACATATATTTCAATTTTTATCACTATTTTCAAATTTTCCATTCTCTTAACAGAAGAAAATTATGAAAAATGTTTTTCCCAATAATAAAATAGGAAATATTATTGATAGCCACATACAAACCCAATAAGTAAGATCCACCAGAAGCAAGACCTACTTTAGGGGTCCCTACATTGTTACCTTGTGTACAGGGCACCAGCACCAGAATCACATTTAAATGAATAGCTATTTTTTTCTATTTCAGAGAAAATAATGCAGGACACTTCTGCTGTCTCCAAGTCTGATGTACACATGTATGTGTCAGACTGTGTAGGACGCCAGGAAGGATAAAGAAAAATACTTTACCCAAATTTGGAGTTATAGGGCCTGATGACCCCAGCTTAAGCCTATCAGAACTGGACAATTTGTTCTTATCTCTCACCTTCAGTCATAATTTCTCTTTCCCTGTTTCTCTTTTTCCCAAAGTATCCTATACCATTTAGATGGTAAATTCCAATAGGCAGCTTTTCTTTCTGAATTATCTTCACTACTGTATAATTTTTATTTTCAGAATTTTCCTTATTTCTACATCTTGAAGACATTTCTTTGGAGGAGATAGGGAAGCTACAACTTATATTCACTGCCAAAAAAGGGTCAGTTCCAGCATCAATTCCCAGCAAACAGCTGAGAGAAAAGTTGAACACAAAAGAAAATAGCGATAGCTGGCAGAGCAGTGACACCTGTGCCCAAAAAGCTGCACTGCAGTTCTACCTGAGGCTCCCCTTTGTTATAACTACCCATATAAAGAGGAAAATTTTAACCAGTTGCAAATTCAAAGCAGATCAATATGCTAAATCACTGGTTCAACATATTACTTCCTCTAATGTCATAATGTTTTTATTGCATCTAGGACATTTTCAGTAAATATCTTGAGGTTGAGGCCCTGGCTAAGCATTCCTTCTGCACTGGAAATCAGATTTCTCTGGCACAACTCCATTGCCTGCAATGGTATTTACTAAAACTACAAATGCCAGCATGTTGACTATTTCAATACTGTACTCAGTTGTTCATAGCTAAATACCTCATTAGCTGTGAAACAAACCAAATGTAAATGCTGGATATATAGTACAAATCAATAGATTCTTCACAGAAGAAAATAATAAAAGACTAATTTTCTACAACATGTCACCTGTTCATTAGTTCTTCAATAATATTATTTAGACTATTCCAAAAATAATAAAATGTACAAACCACTACCCATGTTTTCTCAACATTTTTTATCTAAATTTAAATTCTAAAGGGCATAAACAAAGATGCATATAGTCAGATTATTTTTTATAACTTTTGATGTTTCTTTTGTGCATCTTACAATAATGAATATATGGAGACAAGGACAAATATATATTTAAGTCATTGTGGTTATATGAGTTTTGTTTACATGGCTGGTCAGTTATATGGTTGTTGTAAATGACAAGATAAAATTAACAAAGTTTGGTAAACTCATCCGTGCCCTGTGAACTTTAGTCCACTTACTACATAACTTGATTCAGTCACTATTTATTAGTTTATAAAATAGTTTTTAAAAGCTGCAAATGACACTTTATAACACATTTCTAAATCATAAGGGAGTAAACTGTGACACAGCTCCCTCAAGCTACTGACACTTTGGGGGAGAAAACTTCTGTAATAAAATAAGAGTTTCCAAACTCTTTTTAAAAAAAGTTTGAATTTTGTTCAATGATTAGCTTTTACTCTACAGTCCCTTTTACCCAAGGCATGGGCCCTGGTGCATCTTTTTGAGGTTTAGTTTCAGGGAAGTTTTCAGCAAACCTCTCTCGTGCTTTGTCCCAATTTTTTTTGTTCTTGTTTTGGAGAAGGTGAACATCATCAATTGAGGATGGTTTGCCTGTCCCCAAGCCTGCATGCGTTCGCCGAAGCTGAAGCTGGATCTGGTAACAAAAATTCAACACAGGACTTATTTTAGAGTCTAAACACATTGAAATCTGCTACTAATGAAAAAGAAAAGCCTGCATCAAATACACAGAGGAATACATATGCCATTAAACATGGAATCGAAACTCATTTTTCTACATTGTCTTGCCTGTCAATAAGTACAGCCTACACTACAGAAAGTAGAGTGCTGCCAGGCACGATGGCTCACGCCTGTAATCCCAGCACTTTGGGAAGCAGAAGTGAGAGGACTGTTTGAGTCTGGGAGTTCGAGACCAGCCTGGGAAACTTGGTGAGGCCCTGTCTCTACAATAAATCAAAAAATTAGCTGAGCATGGTGGTGCGTGCCTGGTTCCAGCTACCTGGAAGGTTAAGGCCAAAGGATCACCTGAGTCCAGCAGGCCAACGCTGCAGTGGCCCTGAGTATGCCACTGCTCTCCAGTCTGGGTGACAGAGTGAGAATCCGACTCAAAAAAACAAAGTAGAGTGCTCCTTAAATAGCCACCAGCAAATTTCATTTAGATGCTGCAGAGTATGGCATCCCATTGCCAGAAATAAAGGCAATGGACATATTTATATCTCCTGTCTTTTACCAAAGCAAATGAACAAGTAAAAAATAGGTCTAACATTAAAAGTCATAAAGAGAGCCGGGCTCGGTGGCTCAGCCTGTAATCCCGCGCCTTTGGGAGGCTGAGATGAGTGGATTGCCTGAGCCTGAGGGTTCGAGACCCACCTGGGCAGCAAGACCTCATCTCTACAATAAATCAAAAAAAATTAGCCAGGCGTGGTAGCGCGCGCCTGTAATTCCGGCTACTTGGAAGGCTGAGGCGGAAGGATCGTTGGAGCCCAGCGGGTCGAGGCTGCGGTGGCCGGGAGCGGCCACTGCACTCCAGTCTGGGCGACAGAGTGAGACTCCAACTCAAAAAAAAAAAGTCATAAAGAGAATTTGACTAATTGTTTTCAGTAAGAGAAGGGGAGCACATCTCAATATTTTAAGAATATTAAAAGCTACCAGGGTAACATGCTTAGGGGCCTTCTCTCTAGGACATACATGAAAAACAGTTCGTATCTTCATTCTTTCATAAGAAAACTGAAGCCCAGACTTGTCCAAAGCCATACAGCTAGTCAATGACAGCACACATTTTAACCTAGATCTGACTACAAAACCCTTGTTCTTTTCATTGAGGTACAATGGTATATACTTACACTGATCCATCTATTATTTCTTTAGGTACCAAGTAATTATCATGAAAGTTCTGTAGTCAGGTTACTTCTTAAGGTTTTTGTGAAAGATAACCCAAATCTTTTATGAATCATGGAACTATATAATTGAACCACTGTATTGTTTTCCAGACATTATTCTCTATATTGCATGCTACATGTTAATTTCTAAACCTAACATATTCTCTAACACAGAATCCGCCTGTTTATAAACTAACACTGACTGTTCCTGTAGTGTTCAGTACCAGGTACAGTAAGAAAGTCATTAAACAACTCTAAGACACAGAAGAATCTTTGGCTCAGAAAACGACATTAACTATCCTAGCTTTGATGTAGGAAAAAACTTTGAGGCTTTCTCAAAACATAAAACACAAAACAAAACTGGTAACTGTGAATGCCACAAAGGCAGTAAGCATGTCTGTTTTTGCTTGCTACTATATTCCTAGCACTTAGGACAATGCTTGGCATGTTACCGCACACAGACGATATCTGCTGTAAGAACAAATGAGTGAAAGAAAATGCAAGTCTTACCGGAGTTTTCACTCCTCCGCCATCTTTCCCGAGGCCCTCTCCTTTTTTCCAGCCCATCTTCTCTAACATCTTCCGGCCTTTGTTGCTACCAGTAATTTCACTGAACGACATATTAAGATGACAGCTGAATTATAAAAGTCCTTCTAGGCCACATTTAAAATAAACTCATAAATTAAAAATAATGAATACTACTTTAGAAAACTGTTTGGCATTACCTACAAAACCGAAGACACACAAATTCTACTCCTACATATACTACTTAACAGAAAAGCATGTCCATGTGTACCAAAAACATAGACAAGAATGTTCTTCCAGGTAATATAACAGAAACAAATCAGAAACAATCCAGATGTCCCTCAATGGTAAGACAGATATATTGTGGTACAATTAATATAACAGACTATTACACAGTGATAAAAATATACTATACCTAATAATGTAGGACAAAAAGAATACAGACACAAAATAAACACCGAATTGTTCAATTTATTTAATGTTAAAATAAGTGAAATTAATCTATTGCTGTCAGGATGGTTACCTCTGGGGAGGAGAATGGGATAGCAATTAGGAGGGAGCACAAGGAGGGTAAGCTTCTGGGATTACTGGTAATTTTCTAGTTCTTGTCCAAGAAATGTGTATTCCACAATGTGTCAATTTCATGATGTATCACTGAGCTATACACTTATAATCTGTGTACATTTCTGTACATGTTGTACATTAATAAAAAAGGTAAAATAAAATGAAACAAAACTTTTCATTAACTATTTGCATTTTGTATTCTTCTAATTTAAGGGTGTCTTAATTTTATGTTCGATCACATTAACTTTTCATTTCTACAAAATGTGCTACATTAGCTCTTCAATAACAATAAACTAGCAGTCAAACCATTGTGCTTCATTTTTTATTTCTGCCTTATTCAATTTTAATGTAATATTCATATTCTTTAGAAATTATTTTTAAAATATTAAAGTTTTAAAAATTTGTCATGTTGCTTAGTGTATTTAACTTATAATATTACATTTCATCAAATATATTATTAATAATGGATCTGACTCTATTAACTGTAAGATACTCCAATATGTTTTTATGTACTATTAAGAAAAAGATGCTATTATTTGTAATTATACAACTCTACCACGAGTAGTATATCTTGGAATCAATAAATAAAACTCCAAATGCCCATGCCATAAAAGAAAAGATAGACAAGTGGAACCTCATCAAACTGAAAAGTTTCTGCAAAGCAAAAGAAACCATAGAGAGAGCATGGAGACAGCCCAAAGACTGGGAAAAAAATATCTGCCAATTGTATATCTGACAAAGGCCTAACATCTAGAACCTACAAGGAACCCAAATGTGCCAGAAAGACAAAAACAAACAGCCCTATTAAAAAGTGGGCAAAAGGTCAGGCTTGGTGGCTCAGCCTGAAATCCCAGCACTTTGGGAGGCTGAAGCAAGTGGATTGCCTGAGCCCACAGGTTCGAGACCAGCCTGAGCAACTTGGCGAGACCTTGTCTCTACAATTAAAAAAAAAAAAATTAGCCAGGCATGGTAATGCACGCCTGTAATTCTGGCTACTTGGAAGGCTGAGGCATTAGGATCGCTGGAGCCCAGCAGGTTGACTCTTGGGTGGCTGTGAGTGTGCCACTGCACTCCAGCCTGGGCAAAGAAGTGAGACGCCAACTCAAAAAAAAAAAAAAATGGGCAAAAGATATGAACAGATACTTCCCAAAAGAAGACATATGAACAGTCAACAGATACATGAAAAAATGCTAGCCTCATTAATCATTAGAGAAATACAAATTAAAACCACAATGAGATACCACCTAACTCCAGTCAGGATGGCCATCATCAATAACTCAAAAAACAACAGATGCTGCAGAGATTGTGGGAAAAAGAAATGCTTCTACACTGTTGGGAGGAGTGTAAACTAGTACAACCTCTATGGAAAACAGTGTGACAATTTCTAAAAGATCTAAAATTGACCTTCCATACAACCCAGCAATCCCCCTTCTGAGAATATACCTGGAGAAACTCAAATCATACCCCGAAGAACCCAAATCATTCTACAAAAAAGATACCTGTACACACGTTTACTGCAACATTATTCACAACAGCAAAAACATGGAACCAACCATGCTGCCCATCAAAAGTAGAGTGGGTAAAAAAAATGTGGTACATATATATGATGGAATATTATGTAGCTGTAAAGGACAAAATTATAAACTTCACAGACACCTGGATGGATTTAGAGCCCAATAAGTAATTAATCATAGAAACAAGGAACTGAGTACCACATGTTCTCACTCATAAGTGGACCCTGAACAATAATCATAATACTATAAGAAAGGGAATGGCAGTAGCAGGATACTGCTGGGATGGGGGTGGGGGCAGACACACCATCAATAAGGGTACCTGATCACAAACCAGGCAAAGTGGGGACCAAAGGGATGCCCAAACTTTACCTGTATGAATAAGGGTATCTGATCTCAATCAAGTGAAGTGGGGACCAAAGTCATGCCCAAACTTTACCTGTACAATGACCAATTGAATACTTAATCCTGAATTGTACCCCACATCTTTAAAATAAAAAAATACAGCATGCAAAAAAAATTGAAATGTTAATCAAAATTTTATAATCAATTATCAGTTCTACGTAAAAGATTTAAATTTCAACTTAAACTCAACATTTATATTCTGAGAAAGAAAAAAACAATCTAATATATGATTCAATGCAGAAACATGGTCACACTGTGAGCCTTAAAATTACATCTTTCCTATTTATCAAAGCTTCTTTATCAAGAGAAAAGAACTGAATCAAAGAAAAGTATATTTCAGGGTCAACAAGAATGAAAGTATCTGAGTAAAATACCAGTTCATACCAATTTCTTACCAGTCTAGGCTTCTAGACATCTACTATACAAGAGTATGCTCACTCAACTGGATGACCAGAATGTTAGCTATGCATATACATGTCTTTTTTTTTGTTTTGAGTTGGAGTCTCACTCGGTCGCTCAGACTGGAGTGCAGTGGCCGC